AAATCTGCCATGTCAGCCAAATAGAGAAACTTAGGGAACACGAAGTCACAAAGAAGACTGGCAGAAAAACACAATGCATGGACGAGGAATTAACAGAAAAACCCAGGATTTAAAGAACACCAATGAAAGGGAATGACAAACACCTGGGGGGAGACAATGAGCCTCAGGTGAGAGTGGGCAGGGCAGGAGCAGGAAACTGAGTGGGGGAAAAGAGAACTGAAACACAGACTGATAAAGTAAAACTAACAACTAAATACTAAATAACAAAATGCAGAAAATGACAATGATCAAAAAGGGCCTGAAAAACTGATCAAACAATAACCAAAACAGACCCAACAAGGACAAAATGTCAAACTGAGATATGCCAGTGAAAAGCAACAGAGATAAGAAAAGTTGAAACATGGGAGATGCGACTATAGCTAGATTCTGGCTGAAGATTACAATTTGTCCATTACTGCATGACCATGGAAGAACAGCAACAAAAAGACTGCTGGATTGCCACAGATTATGTACATACATATATGTTGTATATATATATATATATATATATGCATAGTATGCATAGCTGATTTTGCAAGTTTTCCCACCTACAAAGAGTGGAGAGGTCTGTAATTTTTATCGTAGGTACACAAAAATCCTCAAAAAATCACATTGTATGATTTTTAAATATTTTATTTGCATTTTATTTCGGGTGGCGCAACTGGTAGAGCTGCTTCCTCTCAGCGAGCTGGTCCTTGGTTCAAACCCCGGTCCAGGGGCCTTTCTGGGTGGAGTTTGCATGTTCTCTCCGTGCATGCGTGGGTTTTCTCCTGGTACTCCGGTTTCCTCCCACAGACCAAAAACATGCATGTTAGGCTGATAACTCTAAATTGTCCCTAGGTGTGAGTGAGAGAGTGAATGGTTGTTTGTCTCGTGTGTCTCTTTGTGGCCCTGTGATGTACTTGCGACCGGTCCAGGGTGTACCCCGCCCCTCGCACAGTGATTGCTGGACATGGGCAGCTGCGACCCCCGTGACCCAAAATGGAATAAGCAGGTAAAGATAATGGATGGATGGATGGCATTTTATTTCATTAAATAAATATTTGATACAATAGAAAAACAGACCTTACCATAATATTAGGTATGGAAATCTTTGTTTGCAGTTACAGAGGTCAGACATTTCCTGTAGTTCTTGACCAAGTTTCCACACTGCAGCAGTGATTTTGGATCACTCCATCATACACATCTTCTCCAGATCTTTCAGGTATTGGGCCTGTCACTTGGCAACATTGAGTTTCAGCTCCTTCCAAATATTTTCTATTGGGTTCAGGTCTAGAGACTGGCTAGACCAGTCCAGGACCTTGAAATGCTACTTACAGAGCCACTCCTTAGTTGCCCTGGTTGCGTGTTTTGGGTCATTGTCATGCTGGAAGACACAGCTATGACCCATCTTCAATGCTCTTACTGAGGGAAGGAGGTTGCTGGGTAAAATTGGGGCGGTTGTGGCTGAGTGGTTAGAGCAATCCTCCAATGCAAGAGTTGGGAGTTCAATTCCACCAGCAGTCACATACCAAAGTGTCCCTGGGCAAGACACTGAACCCCTCATTGCTTCTGATGTGTGTCCCATCAGTGTATGAATGTGATAAAGAAACACTGATTAGTCTTTGTAGAGATCTAGTAGAGTGCTTTATGAATGGGTAAATGAGGGCACAGATTGTAGTGTAAAGCACTTTAAGTATCTCAGTAAGATAGAAAGGAGCTAGGTAGTTCCATTTACCATTTAAAATCTTGCAATAAATGACTCCATCCATTCTCCCTTCAATACGATACATTTTGCCCTGTCTCCTTTGCATAAAAGCACCCACCAAAGTGTCTTTTATACAGGTAACAAGTTAAAACAAGTGCATTTAATATATGTTACGAGTGCAGAATGGGAGGGCTTCTTAAAGACAAGCTAACAGGTCTGTGAGAACCAGAGTTCTTGCAGGTTGATAGGTGATCAAATACTTATTTCATGCAATAAAATGCAAATTCATTCTTCAATCCATTATCTTTACCTGCTTCTTCCTATCTGGGTCACGGGGGTCACTGGTGCCCATATCCAGCCATCACTGTGCGAGAGCCGGGGGACACCCTGGACAGGTCGCCAGTCCATCACAGGGACATATAGAAACAAACGAGACAAACAACCATTCACTTTCTCACTCACACCTAGGGACAATTTAGAGTTACCAATCAGACTAACATGCATGTTTTTGGTCTGTGGGAGGAAACCGGAGTACCTGGAGAAAACCCACGCATGCACGGAGAGAACATGCAAACTCCAGCCAGATTTGAACTGGGGCGACCTGCTCGCTGAAAGACAGCAGTTGTGCTGCCCTAAGCAAATTATTATGTTTTAAATCACACAATGGGATTTTATTTTTATGTTTTCTTACATTCTGTCTCTCACAGTTGAAATGTATCGACAATAAAAAATTGCAGACCTCTCCATTCTTTGTGTAAAATCTTGAATTTCAATTGAAATGACTTTGGAAAACTTGCTAAATTGGCAGTGTGTCAAATACTTATTTTCCCCATTGTATGTATGTATGTATATGCATATGTGTATATATATATATTTTTTTTTTTTCTTTCCAGATGACAGCATCAGAGGAAGTGTATTCAGTGTGTCACAACCTCTCCATGGGATGTTTTCCTGCCTTTTTCTTATTTTCCGCTGGTAACCTTTGTCAAAGAGAAAAAAAAAAAAAAAACAAGCAAATAAACAAACATTTTATTTAATGTGGCTCAGAATAAAGACATTTTCAGTGTTGGTTTGATCTAAAGCACATAATTCCCTCATTTAGTTGTTTGTAAAATGCTCTAAAATATTTTTTAAAAAGCCAACTGTTGCTGTGATGCTCCTGAGCAGCATTTAAGTTGTGATAGTAAAGAGCATTTTAAGGAGTTCAACAAAGAGCAGCTACTGTGTGTTAAGAAAACTTCCTGTTAATATTCAGAGTTTCCACCTGATGCGTGTGCGCGCACACCAACGGGATTTGGAGAGGACCACGGTGGGACTGAGGGAGGGACTAGAAGTGTGCGCGTGCTATTTGTTCTCGGTGGGACTGGCTGTGAGCAGGTAGAGCATCTCTGCAGCCCGCCGCTTCCAGCTCACAGGAAACTTTCCAGCCGTGGTCAGTGAGTACCGACTTCTTTCTTCTTCTGACTGAGCACGCGCTTCAGATGACAAACAAACCAGTTTATTATTAATGAACTGTGTGAAAGTTTTAGGAGTTGAGAGGCGCGCGGCTGACGGGAGATCAGTTTCAGATTAGATTATTCACAATTTAACTTTTATTGAACTTTCCGAAGCAGATCTTTCCAAATAAAGCTACAAGGCGCATGAGTATACATCACGAACCCTTGCGCACGCATCTTGCGCGGATTGAATTTCCCAGCCAATCCAAACAGGTTACATTTAAAGGTGCTGCATGCGCGTGAAAGGCAGAAGTGATTCGAGTTGTATTCACTCTGCGGGTACTCTTCCCCTCCTCTCTTCCCTGAAGCAACAAGAGCATCCGAGTGTTTTTGAGCTGCTGAACATCTGGCAGCATTGTGCGCGGGCGCATCTTCCCGCAGCCTGCCTCTGCAGCTGCCACAGTCTGGAAAAAAAAAAAAAATCACTGTTCGCTTAACATATGAATGAGAGGAAGATACACTGCCCATGCACGCGCACCTTTCCCTCCTGCTGCAGCTCCGGTCTTTTATCCTGATGCTCAGTGCACAATATTAGGTGATGGGAGATGGTGTGTGTGAGTGTCTGTGTGTGTGTGGGTGGGGGAGAGCAGTGCATGAAATAAAGTAAAATGTAAAAAACATAAAGTTCCAATACAGTACTCTTTATGATGACTGTTTGTTTGACTCTGCACTCTTAAAAAGCCCCACAGGAGTTCTTGTTAAAAGTTCAAAATAAACATGATCTTACCTGTTGCAGATAACTGTTTCTGAGTTTCTGTCAGATGAGCCTGCTGGTCTGAACCCAGATGTTATAAAGCAGCTCATCCAAACATCTGGTTTGCAACCCAACTTTCTGTGCAGAGTCACATGTTGGTGCCGGCTGCCGTTCACGCCATTTAATCGTTGGCAGTTCTGCGTTACTCAGCGTTTTTCATGGAAGTAGATAAACTGCAGCAGCAGCAAGCTGTAGCACTTCCAAGTCCAGCAGGTTTTGTTTAATATTTCTGCCAAAAATAACCATTTATATGCAACAGTGTTAGATTTAAATATTGTCATGAATTGCTGATATTTTGAAGATGGAGGCTGTTTTAAAATGACAGAATCCATTTTGTCTGTGTTCTGTCAGATCAGCTCATTAAACAGTCCAAACGGAGCCACTTAACTCCAATACTCCACAGTTCATAAACATTCGTGCGAATGGGATTATTTACATCTATACACAACATTACTTTTGAATTTCAACAGGAATATGACGGAGTTCCTGCCAGATGTGACCCCTGGATGCACCAGAAGTGCTACAGCTTGCTGCTGCTGGAGCTTCTTATGCTTGTTGATAACTGTAGATTTCCACATGTTTACAAAATAATGTTTACATGAAGCATTTTGTATTTTTGTGATTGTGTCTGTTTTAAGACAATAGTTTGATCCAGACTGATTTTGAACCGCTAGCTCATCAGACTCGTCTTTCCTTCAACCTGAGGCTGTCCAGGAAGTGACCTGTGGTGATAATGGACATTATTTCTATTTTTAGACACTTGAAAATGATTGAACTATTTTCATTTTTCTCCTCCGTGTGAAGAGGTGACGTTTCAGGTTACAAGACCCCGCTCAAATTTCTTTATTTCCTTGGATCCCCTTTCCTTTCCCCCATCCTCACACACTAACACACTCACATCGTACATGTCTGTTGTGCACACCACGTGTAAACAGTGTGTGATGGATGGGTGGCACCAGCCAGGCCTGGGATGTTGGTGTGTCGATCCGTTCAGCAGGTCCTGTTTGTCTTGTCCGCAGTGTCCGTCATGAGTTACTACATGGATCCAGTTTCTTCTTACCCAGCCCTTCACCCCTGTGACCGTCTGGGCGCAACGGTAAGACCTCGCTTATAAATTATCTCTTTCACCTACCACACAGCTGGGTGTGTGTGTGTTTGCACACACTTCACTTTGGTGGAATGTTGTGCATGTGAATGATCAACTTTCATCACTTCATGGCTGCACATTCTATTGGAACATTTTCTCACCTGTTTAGTCCCCCATCATTGCACTAATAGCATTTCTTTTTGAACACACTGTTCCTCATGATTTCATTAGGAATGAGGCAACAGAGCTGTTGAACAAGATAGTTGCACAACCGCTCTGCACCGTGCCATTATTTAGCAACTAATATTGTGAATCGTGAAACCTGCAGGACTTCAACATTTCCACCAACCAATCAAAGTGCAGGCAGAGAATCCCCACTGACTAACGCGCTTTCATAGCGGCGCCACCTGCGTGCCGCTTCGCATCGCTCTGTTTGCAAAAACACCAAGGCTCTTAACGTGGTCCAAATGAGAGAGCCGAACACAGAGTCAGAGGCAACAGGAGCGGGGAACATTTGAATTCCTGTCAGGTGAACATTTGAAGGGTGAAGGCCAAGGAGCAGCAAAATAAATGCCTCCATTTGTATGCAGAGCGCTAGCACATTAGGATAATAGACCGAGGTTACATGCAAATGACAACCCCTCCCTGACCTGACAGACAACATGGAAGGATACAGCTCCTGAGACCCTAATTGGCTCAGGTGGTGAGGCTTGCCTTTGAAATTGAGAATACAGTATACCAGGGCTGCTTGGTCAAAAGGTGAAGCCATGCCACCTTGGTGCCTGTGTTCTCTTATATTTACATGAATTATAAGACAAAAAGCAGACGGACTGATGGGTTTGCTTTTATGTTTGCAATAAAGTCATTCTGTTTCCCAAGTGTGTTTCAGAAACAGTAAGCAGAGGAGTTCGGAACATTATAGCCACTATAATTGCTTGTGATATTTTAAATTTGCAAATGCTTATTAGTTTTTAAAAATAAATTAGGAGAACATGTGCCCTGCGGCATGAAGTAGCTGGGGTGACAATATCTTCAAAGTTTGAGGCCCAGGTTCAATTCAGTTCAGTTTATTTATGTAGCACCAAGTTACAAAAGAAGTCGTCTCAGGGCACTGAACAGAAACATTCATATGTAAAAATAATAATTTTAAAAGAAACATTCATATAAAATAATAATTTAACACTATTTATCTGAGGAGCAGACTGCTTTGAATTTAACTCCATCACAGAACTCTCATCTTGAGCAAGCATGAAGGCGATAGTGGAAAGGAAAACCTCCCTCATGAGGAAAAACCTCCAGCAGAGCCAGGCTCAGGACAAGCGGCCATCTGCTTCGACCGGCTGGGTTTGAGAGGAACAGATACACAATGGCAGGTCAAGAATCACATGTTAAGATAGAAATAGTATCAAATGAAAATTATTCAATTTTAACAATTCATTTAAGGAAATGAGGTAAATTTGTCCTCCAGTAGTCTAAGCTTAAGACAGCATAACAAGCCAACCCTAACTAATTAAAAAAACTTTTTACTTTACTTTAAAAATTTTACTTTAAAAATTAGAAAAATTAGAAAGAGTTATTCATTTTGTTCTGTTACTTGAAAATTATTATGACTGAAATAATTGTTTGAAAAAAGGGGCAGATATAATAAGATTTTTTCTTCTTTCTGCTGCCTTTCATTTTAAATCTTTTGTATCTTTTTTTATATTGTTATGGAATTGTTTTGTACTTTTTTTTAAATGAATAAACTTTTTACCATACCATACCATACCATAACTATAGGATTTATCAAAAAGGAAATTCTTGAGCCCAGTCTTAAAACTGGACAGAAACTGGAAGTTGGTTCCACAAGAGAGGAGCCTGATAACTGAAAGATCTTCCTCCCATTCTGCTTTTGGAAACTCTAGGAACTGCGAATAAGCCTGCAGTCTGAGAGTGAAGTGCTCTGTTAGGAAAATATGGAACAATAAGGTCTGTAATATAAGATGGAGCTAGGTTGTTGGGAGCTTTGTAGGTTAGAAGTAAGATCTTTAATTCAATTCTGGATTTGACAGGGAGCCAGTGGAGAGAAACTAAAACTGGAGAGATATATGTTCTAGAATTGCGCCGCTCAAGGTGGCTGCATGTTGGAGCAGCTCTGTTAATTTCATTCTGAGATTTTGCTTTTGGAAATTTTAATTCCTCTTTTTCTGGATGTAAATCACATTTTTTGGATGGTTGTTTCCTCTGGTATCGGATGCTGTGCAGCTGGAAGGATTTTTTACTGAAACTTTTTTTAGATTTGGACATTTGTTATGATGTGTAACCATGGCAACAAGGCAGTTTTCTACAATCACCGCTGATTAACATCTCAAAAGCTCAAATAATTTTTCAGCTACAGCCCCAAATCTCAAATGAGTTGAAAAGGATGTTCTGTGGACGCATTCTCATCTACCAGCCAGCTGTGCTCGAGTGCCTGACCACTGAGATCCTGGAACTAGCAGGCAACGGTTCATGACAGCGGAGGGACAGGATCGTCCCTCGACACCTACAGTTGGCTGTCTGCAGCGACGAGGAGCTCAGCAGGCTGCTGGGAGGAGTGGCCATTGCTCTGGGAGGAGTTCTGCCCGGCACTCAGGCGATCCTACAGCCCGGGGGAACCGAGAGGCCAGCCGAGTCTGGGTGCACGGCTCGGACAGCATCTGCAGCCAGTTTCTTAGGATCCACTGTGGGATGGATCTTTACAAGAGATCCTTCATGCCTACATCCATCAGTATCTATAACATATCTTAATGACATGAGGATAACGAGTTACAACAACAAATAATTTCCCTTTGGGATTAATAAAGTATTTTTGAATTTGAATTGAATTTGAATATGGTTCTCAACAAGACAAAGGTTAAATGCACTGCTTGGGTTGAGGTGACGCTTCCTAAAGTTCTGTAGGAGCTCAAGGCGGGGGTGGGGAGGGGGGGTTATCTGGAGGCTCTTTCACAAAACAGGTCAACCAAATGGTCACAAAGGCCATCATCGAGCTTCCTGTGAAAACCTGTTTGTTGTTCTTTAATCCCATGACCAGATCATCAGGCCCGACCTATAGAATCACTTTAACAAACGTTTAAGTCACAAATCATGCCTATTGTTTCACTTGTCAACCATTTTGGATCTGCTACTACATCGTTTCATGGCACAAATACACATCAGAGGTGGGTTCGTCTTCAACCACTCTTGTTGTATCCGTTCTTTCAGAAACCAGAAGGCGTCTAAATCCCAGTTTGAGGGGTTTTCTGAATGAGTTGCAGAAGTTTTGAGTTATGGTAGGATTGAACAGGAAATGGATCAACAGATCAGGGCCTTGTCTGCAGTAATGAGGATGTTGCTTTTGTCTGTTGTGGTGAAGAAGCAGTTAAGCTCATTATTTACTGGTCCGTCTCTGCTCTAACCTTCATGTATTACAATGAGGTATGGATTATGGTAGGAAGAATGAGGTAGAAACAAGGGGCTGAAATGAGGTGTGGCCCTATGAGGAGACAGGCTGAGGAGTGCTGTCATCCAGCAGGGAGCAGGTGTTCTTACACAACTTAAAAAATGTCATTTAGTCGCAGTCTTCAGATTCCAGTCTTTAATCCTGATTGTTCTTATAGTAAATGCACCAACAGATAACTCCACTACTGGGTTGGAAAAACAGACCACAACAGTCAAAGACTGTGCACAGAAAGACACTATGTTTCACTCATTCGTTACAAAAACTAGAGAAATATTTCATTCAGAATGTTATACGGTTTTATTAAGAGGCCTAGAGGGTGATGAATGAGGAAGCTGGCTTCGTCGTGAAGATTAATTTGATTCATAAAGGGAAAAAACCATGGTTCAGTCCATCATCAAGTAAAAAGTCATTTCCAGAGAAGTCTGATCCAAAGAATGATCCAGAAAATAAAGGTTATTTGATCAAATTCTGTGGTTTCTAAAGTTCAGTTTGTATAAAAAGACGTGGCACTCACAGTATTTTTTTAAAACCTTCCCAGGTGACACTTGACTGATACATTGAATAAAGGGTTGTGGGTTACACCATTTCTGGAAAAAATATGAAAAAATATCGACTCAAACCAGTTGTTCAAACCATCCACTTCTTCCTTTTTGGGTTCAGTGTCTATCTCCAGAAGTCACTGTGAGAGAGGCGGGGTACATCCTGGATAGGTCTCCAGTCTCTCACAGGGACACAAAAAAACTATCACACTCTCACTCACACCTAAGGACAACTTAAGGGCCCTGCAAACTCCATCCAAAGTGGCAAAATCGCCTCTCACTGACGTAGTTCGCTTCAAAAGTTACGTAATTTTATTCTGAGTAGCTTCTCCCGCCCCTTCTTTCTCACAAGGCCAAAGCTCTTCTCACAGGCGAACACAGCAAGTATTGTATGATTGGTCAGAAGTTTGTGTGCCTGTTTGTTTATGCTGAAAAGCTCTTGGACATTCATCTGTACAACTCTTCAAACACTTAATTAGTCAAATGGCCAAAAACTCCTGGATGGAGAGCATGCAGACATTATGCACAGAGGAGTCTGTCTGCTGAAGAGTGTGGCACTTTTTCATGATAGATTTGTGGCCAAACAGCGGATGCAGGGACGGAGTGGAGACTCTGGCAGGAAGAAACCCTGTGGTGACGTATACTGCAGTGGGAGGCGTTTCCCAGGAGCTCTGCGCCTGTGTCTTGTGGACTATGAAAGGTGTGTGTGAAAACAAACGTCCTGCAAACACAACACCTCGAGTCGACTGTTCGGCGTTGGATGGAGTATGCTGGGCCCTTTAGAATTACCAGTTAGTGTAACATGCATGTTTTTAGTTTGTGGGAGGCACCATAATCAGAGAACATGGAGACAATCCACATGTAAACATATATCATTCAAACCTCACCCAGAAAGGTCTGAGGCTGGGATTCTATCTGGCAACCTTCTCGCTGAGAGACGATGGCTGAACAAACTGCACCAATGGTTTGATTGGTGTGTTTTCATCAGCCCTCAGTTCTCAGTATTTTGTGCCTCCTGGACAGTTTTTGGTCTGCAGCCTTTGGGTAGTGAGACTCTGACCAGTGACAACATGAATGTAGTGATCAGTCCAACATGCCGTCTTCTCTCGTCTCTGATGGATTCAGTCAGCATCAAGTTCTCATAAATCCTGGAGCTTTTTATTCAGGGTTGTAATAATGTTTGAAGGAGTGTGAATGTATTACACATGACAATGACCAAGGTTTAATCTCTTTAATTTATTGGCTTGTTATGCTGCCATAGGCTTAGACCACTGGAGGACAAATTGTCCACATTTCCTAAAATGAGTTGCTAAAATTGAGTATTTTTTAATTTGAAGTCATTTCTATCGTAACGTAATTCTTGACCTGCCATTGTGTATCTGTTCCTCCTTCCTATCCTCTCAACTCAAACTCAGCTTGTTGAAGCGGTTGGCCACTTGTCCTGATTTGGTTCTGTTAAAGGTTTCTTCCTCACGAGGGAGTTTTTCCTTTCCACTGTCGCCTTCATGCTTGTTCAAGATGAGAGTTCCATGACGGAGTTAAACTCAAAGCAGTCTGCTTCTCAGATAAATAATGTGAACTTGCTTTTTGTATGAATGTTTCTGTTCAGTGTTCTGAGACGACTTCTATTGTGACTTGGCGCTTTATAAATAAACTGAACTCAATTAATTTCATAGAGCTCAGTCAACTCAAAATGATCCTTCTCAGTTTTCCAACTATAACTGGGGTGAATTTGTGGAACGGTTCACTAAAACGGACATTTTCTGTAAATATAGCTAGTTTTATGATCGTAACTGACAAAAAGTAGTTGAAATAAAAGTAAATGTGAAGTGAAGATGGTGGAGAGCAAACTATTCTTATCAACATGATTCAAAATGTTGACAGGAGAACTTTCTGAAGGTGGACAACACAAACTACTCAGCACCGTTGTAAGAGAGCTCCACCAAACTGCTGCCTTGGCCATGATTTTAACTTGTTCTGCTCTCAAACTGATCCAAAGATATGTGCTGCTGGTGTTATCTTCGTTCATATCAGCATGTGATCTCAAACCCATCCATGGGGCTCCTTCCATGCTCGCTGACAGACTCGACAGGAGATAGCAGCGCTCCATGCAGATCTGAGTCTGACCACATCAGCCTTCCTTGCAGCTGGACGGCCTCTGATAAATGCTGCTGAGGCTAACTTGGGGTTCCTTATCAGATGGGCAGTCCGTCCGTCTGCCGAGCTGTCAGATACATATGACATATATTTGAACATTTAGATTGTTCTGGATTTCTTTTAACTTATTGCAGATAATAAAAGTCAGCAATTGTGCATTAAGTACACTACCTGAGAAACCTCATCACTTTTTTTTGTAAAGTCTGAAAGCAACAAACCTTTGTGGGATTTTAAGTTTAACAAGAGAAAAATAATTATTTGTATTTATTTTTGCCATTTTTATACCAAAATGTCAAACACTATCTCCTCAGGGTTTGTTTGTTTTCTAATAACAGTTTTGATTAGCTAAAAAAAAAAACTAGCCCAGTGGCTATCTTTGTCCTAACGCTCTGTAAACACACAGAATTCAATATCTCTCTTGGCTCCGCTGTCAACTGCTGACGGTAGACTTCCGTCCTCTAACTGCAGCCTCCTGCACGAACGTTCTGTGATAAGCTGCAAAAAATAATAATAATGAGAGAGAGAAAAAAAAAAACAAGGATGATAAAGCAAAGGAGACAAATTTAGCTGCAGGATTTATCTTTATGAAAACAATGAAAACCTTGCTGGTAAAACCCAAGGTTACTGATTCACACGCCGAATAAAAAAAAAAAACAACAACTAAAACTTTAGCTCCTCCAGTTTGTTATATGAAAACACATTTTGAAAATAAAATATGTATTTAGATGAGGTTTTCCTGATGAAGATGGACATGATGTGGCCTGTTTGTTAGCAAAATATCTCATTATTCACTTGACCATGTTTAATGAAACTTACAGAAAATTACCACATATTTATCTAAAATCTGATTCAAGATGGCCTCCACAACCAACGTACTCGAGAAGACACAAAGATGGATTCAACTCAAGCCGTCTTATAATATTTGAGCTAAAATTTGACGGTTAGGAAATACTACTGTGTAACAAAAAAAATGTAAAAATGCTATACAGAAAATGGGCTCAACAAAATAAAGGTTACATCTTTACAAAGGATCTAACAGGAATTTGACATAGCAAAATAAAAGCATTAAATATAATACAACCGGTGGACTTAAAAAAAAAAAAAATATATATATATATATATAGTATAATGTAGTAGAAAATTATCCTCAGCACATACTTAAAGTACTACACATTGTGCAAATGTTGGTGCTAAAAACTCTGCCATTAACTGTTGGCATCAACAGTGTCTGTTAGCAAAATATTTCAACAACCACTGGATAAGTTTCAATTTAGCTCTTAAAAATATAATTACTGATTGTAAATCTACAACTGTGTACCTTTTTGAACAACCCAATTCAAGATGGCCACCAAACATTTTTGATGTTAGCCTGTACAAAAATAATTTAAACCTGTTTAGTTTTAGAAGACGTGTGCTGGTGCCCATTTTTAAGAACAAGGTGATGTACAGAGTTGTAGCAACTACAGGGGAATTAAGTTGATGGTTCACACAATGAAGATCTGGGAGAGAGTTGTGGAAGCAAAACTTAGACAAGAGGTGACTGTGAGCAGCAGTATGGTTTCATGCCGAGAAAGAGCACCAGAGATGCCATTTTTGCTTTGACAATGCTGATGGAGAAGTTCAGAGAGTGTCAGAAAGAATTCTATTGTGTCTTTGTGGATTTATAAAAAGCAGATGTGTCAGGGTGTTGAGGGAGGAGGTGTGGTATTTCATGAAGAAATCTGGAGTGCCAGAGAAGTATGTTTGACTGGTACAACAGGACATGTATGAGGACAGCAGGACAGTGGTGAGATGTGCTGTAGGAGTGACAGATAGCTTCAAGGCGGAGGTGGGAGTGCATCAAGGATCGGTTCTGAGCCCCTTCTTGTTTGCTCTGGTGATGGGCCGACTAACAGATGAGGTCATGCAGGAATCCCTGTGGATTATGATGTTTGCAGATGACATTGTGATCTGTGGTGAGAACAGGGAACAGGTGGAAGATAACTTGGAGAGGTGGAGGTATGCACTTGAAAGAAGAGGAATGAAAGTCAGCTGTAGTAAGACAGAGTACATGTGTGTGCATGAGAGGGAGGCCAGTGAAACAGTGAGGCTACAAGGAGCAGAGGTCACAAAGGTGCAGGACTTCAAGTACTTGGGGTCCACTGTCCAGGGAAATGGGGAATGTGGTAAAGAGGTGGAGAATAGAGTCCAGGCAGGATGGAGTAGATGGAGAAAAGTTTCAGGAGTGATTTGTGACAAAAAGGAGTCAGCAAAGGTCAAAGGAAAAGTTTATAAGACAGTGGTGAGACCAGCTATATTGTATGGTCTGGAAACAGAGACATGGACAAAAAGACGAGAAATAAATGGAAGTGGCAGAAATGAAGATGTTTAAGTTCTCCTGAGGGGTTACAAGGATGGATAAGATGAGGAATGAGATCATCAGAGGTACAGCACATGTTATACAGCTGGGAAATAAAGTTAGGGAGGCCAGACTGAGATGGTTTGGACATGTCCAGAGGAGAGACAGTGGGTATATTGGTAGAAGGATGTTGGAAATGCAGCTGCCAGGAAAAAACAAAACAAATAGGAAGGCCAAAGAGGAGATATATGGATGCAGTTAGAGAGGACATGGAGGTAGTTGTAGTGAGGACAAAGTGAGATAGAGGAGGATGATTCACTGTGGAGCCCTCTGATGAGGGAAAAACTGAAAGAAGTTTTACAGATATTGAGTTGAAATTCGATGTGGTAGTAGCTGAGAGTCATTCACAGCACACACTCTGAGCACTAACTCATCTTCTAATGGTGCATAGGATTTTTAAAGCTTGAATTAAACAACTACAACTTTGTCAACACATAATGATCTTGTGATTTTAGAAGATGTTCTCTGAGGAGTGGTGGGCTTTAACTGAAAGAGGTCAAACAGCTGCTTCACCTCATGCAGATGAATCACGCACGCAGCAGCAGAGACGTAGACGCAGCTGAACTGAGGAACGTGTTCCATGATCCTCCTTCAGTTTGGTTGAACCACTCTTTTTTTTTTGCTGTTTTTGCACAGAGACAGGCCGGAGGAGCAGCAGTGGGCCCTTTGAGTCACCTCCCAGGTGTGATTCACCCTCAGCAGCCCTTTTACCCTTCACAGCCACTTTACCCCCATGCGATACCCCTGCAGGAAGTTCCCGACGGACACGACATGTGTCCAACAGGTAGGACAGAAAGAAACATTACCTAAAAAAAATGCAGTGAACTCTAAAAAAATAATTATTTTCTGGTATTTTAATACACATTGTACTGATACTGTAAATCAAGTTTTTTGTTCTGAAGCTGAAACATATTTAAAGGATTTGAAGAAAATTATCATGTAACTACTATTTAAAAGACATCTGTAAGAAAACAACTGTCTTTACTGTATTCTCATGAAGTTCTTGTTTCAATAAGAAATCATCCAACAGACGACGACTGTGTGAAATCATCAGTGTCAGTGTCTTTTATTTAGTCACACACCCCCAAATGTCCAGATGTAAAACACAACACACACTTCACTCGTAGCTCCGTCTTTAAAGTTAATATCACACTTAAAGTTGTTTTCTGGTCATTTCCTCCAGTTTTAAACAGCTGAATCCACTTCCACCCGTTCCCTCCACCACTTAATTTTATCCAATCATGCCAGGAAGTAGTGGTGTCCCAGTTCTTTCTGAGATGTAGGAACAGGTACATCTATCTTGCTCTACAAATGGAAACTTTTAAGAAGCACACTTTAAGAAGAAGGAATTCTCTCATTTGGCTGCAACTATAGTGAACACTTGTTGGTAAGCAATGTTTACCAGGGAGTCGCCAAAATGTCTTCATACACTAGCAGGGCTCTTTACAGGACTCACTCGGAGCCTTGTTGCTTGAATTTTGATCATGTTCTCTTAAATTAGACACAGAATTGTTGCAGGTGTCTTCATGGAACCTTTTTAAATGTAGCTTCTGTAAAATCTGGAGGTGTGTTTTGACCCCATGCACAGCCCTCCTATAACAGGTGACATCCCAGGTGCTTTTATTCTATTAAATTTACATGAATTTAAAAAAAATCTGAGGGCCTTGTGGGGTTTACTTTATTGTTTCTTATAAAGTCCATCATCAAGTCTTTTTGGTGACACCCTCTCAAATGCTGTTTACTGTGACCCTTCAGGTCCACCGCTGATGATAAATATTATTATTTTAAAAATGTGTCTAATATTGAACTGCCTTTATTGTTCATGTGCACTTCAATAGATTAAGTCATAAACATGGTGGTGGTGGTGGTGGGGGGGGGGGGGGCTGTCAAGGTGAGAACAAGGCAGGCTGAGGCAGGTATGATGTGGGCGGAGGAGGACAATGGAATAAGTGCACAGCCTAGACCAGGGGTCTGTAACATGTGGCTCTGGGGCCACATGTGGCGCTTTGGTACCTCGTCCGTGGCCATTTGAAGCCTTGGTCAAAACTAAAATTCAGTTTATTTGTATAGTTTATTTATGTATTTATTTTATATATAACTACAATAGAAAAGGTCAGTTTTTTAAAAGTTTATCTGTCCATGTTCTTTAAATGTTTGAGTGATATTACAAATACAAGGAGTGAAGCACAATTAGATTTATTTATTTCATCAACTTCCAGGCTTACTGTGGGATCTTTCTCTCAAATCCACCAGGAATTCTTTGGAATACCTTTAGGACAAGTTGATGCAAATAAATATGGTGAGTCAATTAGATAATCATAAGAATTAGAAAAATATAACATGATTAAAGTCAAAGTAAATACAAGTTTTTGTAATTAAATAAGACATTCAAGAAGTCACAGTTATATATATCTGTCAAAATTGGCTAATTTTGACCATTTTGTTGTTTTCAAATTTTTATACACACTTTTAATTTCCATTAATTCATCCATCCATCCATTCAAGCTTCAAGGTGACTTTTTTGTCATTTGCATCACATGTGGCACATGAGGTGGAATGCCATTGTGTACTCAAGGTCCCAGTTACACCCAAAAATAGCAAAATTATAAAGTATATAAAATAAAACAGTATACAAGGATCTAAGATATACACTAAACAATAATAATGTGATATAATATGCGTATTAAACAGCAGCCTGAACATGAGTCTGTTGTGAGCAGATGGACATGAATACAGCAGCTTAAAGGTAAGAAATCAGCAGCATGGATAATCAGCAACACAGACAAAGTGAGAAGGGGTTCTCTGCAGACCAAAAGTGGGTGTTTCTGGAGAATAGGCGTTTGTAGAGGGCAAACACTCATTGGCTAGCTGTATTTGCTGCTCTTTAGGTAAGTTACTTCAGCTCTCTTTTAAAACTGAAAGTTTCTAAGAAACAGCGTTACATCTGCTGCCAAACAGAAGATTTTCTTTTGTTCTTGGGTTGTAGGCTGCACCTGACACAGGCTATAATGAAATATGAAGCATCTGAAGTGAAACCTGCTCCATTTGTCAAAAAGTCTGGTCTCATTTAAAGATCATGAGTCCTGTGACGAGATAATGGTCTAAAACAAACGCTAAAAACAAAAGTTGCTCTTTAGAAGTGCTCTTCTATGAGATCTGATCTATGAAAGGAGCTGAAACATGAAGTAGGATTGACCCTTAAAATGTGAGACAGCTGAGGAAGTTAACCAGTAAACAGAAATACTTGCTCCAGTTGCAGAAATCTTACAGAAACTGACGCTCACTCATCTGCAGTGACCGCTTTAAAAAGTTGAACAAGAAAAAGTGAAGTTAAAGGAAACATCCTTTGTCCCAAAGCCAGTTTAAGTATCATTATTATTTTTGGTTACTTTATTTTTCTTTCTTTATGAAATGATTGTAACTATTTTCACATTATGCATCAACCAAAACTGTTTTTTTTTTGTTTTTTTTATGTGATGGCTAGATATGAAAAAACAAATATTTAGCTCTCCCCACTACCCATTTATGTTGCTCTTATTTTGAGATGTAACTGGAAATTCTGTGTTAAGAGAGGAGGAAAGAGAAGTCATGGAGACGCTGCTAATGTTGAACATGAGACGCCACTAATGTCGAACCAGTTAACACCATAGACATAATATGTCTGTGGTGTTAACACAAACGGCTTTTTTTTTTTTTTTCATTTAGCCTTTTTTTTTTCTGTCCAATCAGATGTGGCCTTCCAGACATGCCCATTTTTCTATTGCCCAATCATATGTGACCCTCCAGATACACCTATTGTTTTATCCTCCAATCAGATATGGCCTTCCAGATACGCCTTCCAAATTTGTCTAGAGATACCTACGTGGACAAAGTTACAAATCACCAATTAAAGTGGCATTACAATGATTATCCTGGTTAGATGTTCATGAGTCTAACAGCTTCAGGGTAGAAGCTATTCCTCAGTCTAGTGTTTCTACAATTAATGTTCTTCAACCTCCTTGAGGGAAGCAGAGCAAAAAGTGTGTGTGCTGGGTGAGTGGGGTCCTTCTTGATGCAGGTGGCCCTCTTCCTGCATCTGGAGGTGTAGATGTCTGCTGGTGGGGAGACTGACTCCAACAGACTTCTGTGCAGCCTTCACCACTCTCTGCAAAGCTTTTCTTTCTGCAGCTGTGCAGCCTCCATGCCACACGTTGATGCTGGAGCACAGGATGCTCTCCACTGCACACCTGTAGAAGGAGGTGAGGACTGAGCTCTCTGGCTTCATTCTTCCCTCACTTGTGAACAAACCCCTGAGATACTTGAACTCTTTCATTTGAGGCAGAACCTCATCCCTAAAGCGGAAAGGACAGTCCACCCTCTCCTGACTGAGGACTATGGTCTCAGATTTGGAGGTTCTGATCCTCATCCCAGATGCTTCACACTAGGCTGTGAACTTTTAATTCATGCTTTATTTCTTCAAAGTGGAATACTTTATTATTTTCCCATCACCCTGCAGAGTTCAGTGAATTACAACATTTTGATTCTGGATATTTTTTTCACATAATGTAAATATATGAATAAATGTTAAATTCATTATATAATTTTAGTTCTTAAACATCACCTCTTGGGTCACCAGTTGATAAGCACATTTGTAGTATGTTTTGACACTCTGGAAAAATTGTGCTTAGTAAGTAAATGGTACAAATGCTTCGTTTGCTCTGAAAGGTTGCAGACCCCTGGCCTGGATCATGATTTTCAAAAAGTGGTCACTAAAAATATGATGACACCACTTACCCCTGTTTGGTTGAAAACACTCATAAATCACTGAGACTGCTGCTGCTGCATATTCTCACAGTCTCATGATTCTTACTCACCATCTAGTCTCCAACAGTTGCAATGAAGGTACTACTCAAAAGGATCTGAGGTGTTCTGGAACAACCATCCCAAGTATTTGGTAAATTTGTTGATTTTTGTCACATCAACCATTAATAAATCTAGTTTTGTGCTTTTTAATCTATTTTGTTTTGTATTATTGTCAAAAATGCTCAACAAACATTAAACATCACATTTTGTTGTATTTTTCCGTTAAACAGATTTAATGGTCACAGCTATCATTATCATGTCTGGTTTGATGTATTTCAAGGATTTACCTGCGATGTCACTGGTGCACTTTGTTAGCAAGCACAAACATATGATGTCTTTGTCTAGATAACTACTTTGGTGGCATTTAACACTGTCTGCGACTCCTGGAGACTAGTTGGTGACTCATAATTGTGAGAAACACAAATTTTCTGCTGCACTTTGACAGAATTCTGAGTGTTTGTGACCAAGAGACCAGTGTGTTAAGCTCTCGCATTATTCGTGTAAGACCAAATTTTGAAAGTCACAGCTTATTAACTTTTACTCCTCCCTTACTGTAGCAACAGTTCCCACCTGCCTGAAGACTGCCACCATCATCCCAGTACCAAAAAGCTCTATAGTGACTGGTCTGAATGACTACCGGTCAATAGACCTCACCCCGATAGTCTCTAAATGCTTCAGAAAACTGGTCATAACCCACATCAAAACAACCATCAGCATCAACAAGGACGCTTACCAGTACGCATAACACAAGAATCGATCAACAGAGGATGCCATCTCCTCTGTGGTCCACAATGCTCTCACACAACTGGAGCAGAAGGACTCCTACATCCATATGTTCTTTGTGGACTTCACATCTGCCTTCAACACAATGATCCCCCAAACCCTGATGGACAAACTACTCACACTAGGACTAAGCACCTCCATTTGCAACTGGGTCCTAGA